ACCACCATAGAGCACCCCGCCCCGCCACGCCCCGCCACGCCCCGCCACGCCCAGTGGCTTTCAGACCTTGGCGGATAATTACAGGAGGCTGTTGAGGGGAGCGCTTGCCGGACAGGGCTGGTCATCCCGCAACGCCTTTTACCCCCCCCCCCCCCCCCTTTTTCGCCTCGGCACGCCCAATGCGGCAGGCGAGGCCGGGCGAGGCCGGGCAAGGCGAGGCAGGAGTTAAAAAGAAAGGGCACAGTCCTTTTCACCTCTGCTGAAGAGTGATTAATTTCCCCAGGCCGCAACTTGGAGGCCGTGGTGGGCCCCCGTGGGCCGTGGCCGTGGGCCGTGGGGCGGCCAGTGGCGTGGAAAAGCGGAGGGGGGCCCACTGGGGCCGAGTTGGCTCCCTGCTTCTTATCTTTACAGTGGGGATTCGGTTCCTAGCTTCACCTCAGGGATACGCTACGCTTGCTTGGGCAGGTTAGGTTAGACCACGTGACGGGCACCGGAGAACCACTATCTAAAAGGAACAGCAGTACCCAAACAGACGTTAACCAGTCGCCTCTGAGTCGAGGGCTGGTGCCTTCAGTGGGATTGCCTAGGCTGGCCTCGCGGCAGGAACCAGAACTAGCTCACAGGCCATGCTCTCGGGTCCCCGGGGCACTGCGGCACCAGCCACCTACTCTAACTAACACTGTGCGAAACACCCGGTCCATGTCAGGTGCGCAACCCAGGTGTGTGCTGCTGGCTGCACGCCACTGTAAAGTAAAGCGTTGCGGACCCGACGGACCCGACCCAGAGAAGAGCAGAGTGAGGGCGTTCCGCGAGGGCGTTCCGCGAGGGCGTTCCGCGAGGGCGTTCCGCGAGGGCGTTCCGCGAGGGCGTTCCGCGAGGGCGTTCCGCGAGGGCGTTCCGCGAGGGCGTTCCGCGAGGGCGTTCCGCGAGGGGCGTTCCGCGAGGGCGTTCCGCGAGGGCGTTCCGCGAGGGCGTTCCGCGAGGGCGTTCCGCGAGGGCGTTCCGCGAGGGCGTTCCGCGAGGGCGTTCGGCTCTCTTGGCGGTGCAGAGTACGCTTCGACTTGAGGCCGCAGTAAAGGCCCCGCCACCCTAAAGCAGGCCGTCGACATGCACGCCGCCAGTCGTCCCGCAGTGCCGCAGTCCCGCAGTCCTCTTCCTCCACGACGACGTATCGTAATACTCGCAGTACCGCGATTCCGAGCGCCATGAATCCGCGAGCGACGCTTCACCTGGCGCGTCCTTATTTTGTGGCTTGTTTGCAGTGCGGTGGCATGGCGGTGCCGAGCCGCCCAGGCGGAGCGGGCGGAGTGGCTCCGAGAGCATGATCGGCGCAGAGCTAGTTAGGACGTCCCCGGGCGGAGGGAGCCCAGCCAGGCCTCGGCCCAGCTAGGCCACGGCCAGGCGGCGCGCGGCTCGGCACATAAAACTGTAAACATGAGCAACTCCACGACGCCAACTTTACGGCGGACGAGCCCGGCCAGGGAGGCCAGGGCGGTCGGTGCTACCAACCTTCTCGCCTCAAACGACACCCCCGGCAAACCCCCGTAAAACTGCGCGGCGGCGCGCGCTGCGTCGGGGGGATTAGGAACGAGGTTAGGTTGGCCAGGGCTGCGCCGGGCTACGCTAGGCCACCGCCGCTTGGGCCGCTTGCCGGGTTGATACCTTGTTAGCGTCACTGCGCCAACACGCACACACACAGAGACACACAGACACACACACACACACAGACACACACACACAGGCAAGGGCTGTCATTGCGAGAGTTGGGTTAAGGATCCAGCCGCAAAGCAAGGCTGGCCGTGCTCCGCGTTGGCTTGCAGAGGGTGTGGGAGACCGGCCAGCACGGCCAGCACGTCCCTGGCGGACACCTGGGCGGGGCGGGGCGGGGCGTGTGTTGTCACTTCCAATATAGTGCGCGCACGTCGGGCCGTCGGGACGCCGGGCCGGTCGAGGTGACCCCGCACCACCTGCTCTTCGAGCTTTACCTTCCGTTTTTGGCAACCCTTTCGACAGCCCTCCTCGGCCGGCCCCTTCGCCGGCCCTCTTTGAACGCGGCAGTGAAATAAAGTAGCCGGTTCGGTCCGGTACGTGCGGCAGGGCACACGCCGATGCTGCCGATGCTCCCCGTCAGGGCGATGCGCGCCGAGGACGCCGACGACGCGCGGCGTGCACGCCCCGGGCGCTGCGTCGCCGCCCGGCGTCTGGTCCTGAAAGCTTTAATATTTCGTCCTCCCTTCCCCACACCTTCCTGGAGGCCCGGAGGCCCGGCCTGGAGGCCCGGCCGGTCGGCCCGCCCGGCCCCACATCGACCCGGAAGTGCGCTAACTGGCGCCGAGGCCCGCGCAGGCCGGCCATCTCGACCGCCGGCCGCCGGAAGTTACGCGGTTCTGGCGCGGCCTCGGCCACGTCCGCCTCGGCCATCGGACGCTGCAGGCCGAAAATTAATCTTGGCCGGGAAACACACGGGGAAAAAAAGGCAATGGAGGGCGGCGCGGCACTGCGAAAAAAAAATAAGGAGGGCAAAGTGGCGGGGGTGGGAGGAGCCATCAGGAGCCTGCCATTACGTTAATTGGCCAGGATTGTTGTCGTCGGATTACCCCTCCCCCCCCCCCTCTCTCTCTCTCTTGAGGCCACCCTCTCCCAGTAGTCCGCACGCATCGCAGCCAGCCTTGTTGCTCCCTTCAGATTAACTGGCGTCTTGACTCGTCGCGGCCCTCGGGCAAAACGGGCAAAACGGCGAGACAGTCGGGCGGCAAGATGACAGTAATACGTTTGGGCGCGTCGGGGACCGCGCGTCCGGAGGGGGGGGGGGGCACGGTGGCGAGGGAAAAGGGGAGGGGAAGGGGCAGGTTGGAGCGGTAATCAATTCGATGCTTCGTGATCGTGGAGCAATGCTGCCGATTTGGGCCGGGAAATTCGGCCGTGTGCGGAACGGACTCTTTCTCGCCGTGTGTGTGTGTGTGTGTGTGTGTGTGTGTGTGTGTGTGTGTGTGTGTGTGTGTGTGTGTGTGTGTGTGTGGTGTGAAGGAAGAGGTGTGGAAGATGAGGATGCGGAAGGGGAGGAAGCAAAGGGAGGCAAAGTGGATCGTCGAGAGAGAGGGAGAAGGGGGGGGGGGACGAGATTGCCCAGTCGTTCATAACCAATAAAATGCTAATGCTCGTATCAGGTCGGTTTTAATTCCACGGCGCGGAGACGAGACGACGGGGAGGGGGAGAGGGAAAGGCAGGGTTCAATAAAAGTGAAGGGAGAAAAGAAGATACAGCCCCCGCCCAAATCTCGTTTATCCCCTAAAATTTCCCTGACGAGAAGGGCTTTTTTGCCATTTTTAAACAAAAAGAAATGAGCTAGTTAGACACGGGGCGAAACTTTGTTGAAATTAGCGTTAAATTGGCACGTTGGGCGAGGACCTCCCCATTAATTTGCCGCTCGAGTGGTGAAGGAAGGGCAAGAAAAATATGGGTGGCAATGATGCCAGCCAGGCGCACCGCGTTGCCATGGCCTTGCCGAGCTGCCGTGCCGTCGCGCTCCGAGGCGACGAGCTTTGAGTCAAACGGGCCGCTCTACCAGTGTAGCGCCCCGGGCGACCCGAGGCTTAACTCCAGGTCCCCCAGCTCGGTCCATAAAAATGCCCGTTTGAGCCACCACACACGCACACACACAGATCAGTCAAGCATTCTCAAACTTTTCCTCTGGTCTTCGCAATGTTGCCATGAATGAAATCCAATAGGAACCACTGAGTATCCGACCCGCCTCTCGCTTTCACGCTCACTCCGCCGACTCCGCCCGGCTGAGCCTCTGCGGCCCACTGTGCACTAGCAGTGCATCAGTGTGGTCCGCGAGGGCGCGGCTGTGCCATGGCTGCGCGGCGACGGTCGAATGGGGCGATCGGCGCGTCGTCTGCTGCGCGTCGTCTGCCCCGCCGGCCGCGCGGTTAATTCCCAGTGGCGGAGTTAATCAAACTTACAGGCGGCGTTGGAAGTGTTTTGCGGACGGGGCCCGGCCCTGGCCCGGCCGGCGGCGGCGGCAAGTTGCCGTGGGAGGGGGAGGGGGCCAAGTTGGTCCGCGACAAGCCCCGCGTGCCGGCCACGATAACTTACTCAATTATCAGGGTGAAGGGTGAGCGGTGAGGGGCCGGGCGGCGCGGGCGGGTCAACGCCATGACGGCCATGACGGACCACCTCGAACAGGATTTATGGCCGTTCACATTATTCGACGAGGGCCGGGGCGGCTTGTTTTGTTTCGGCTGGTTTCGGCCAACTTGTTGTGTTTGTTCAAATGAAACGGCGGGCAGTTATTCGCAGCCACGTGGCACGAACGTGCGCGAGCAGAGTCGTTGTCGTCGCTCTGTCTCTCTCACCCTGGTGGGGCGTCCCAGTGGGTGCGAGAGAGACAGAGTGAGTCTGCAGTGGCGGAGTGCAGGCGGTGCAGGCGCAGGCACGCCCCGACTCGCCGCGAAATGCAGTCGGCGAAACGTCGGGTGCTTGTCTTCGCTTGGCCACGCCACTGGCTGGGCTAAGTCACTGACTTGGACGCCTTTGACTTGCCTTTGCTCCTGGCTTGGCTGCGCGCTGTGCCGCAAACCGATTCCTGTCTCTCTCGCACTCACGGGACGTCCGCTGTAGGTGCGAGAGAGACAGGGCGACGGAAACGATTCTCGCAATCAGTCCGCAGCCCACTCTTGCACGGGCCGACCGCAGACGCCGCAGACACGGCAGACAGCGCTGTTCTGGACCGGACAGTCAGTCGGGATGTGCGGTGTGCGTCTGTGCCGTCTGTGCCGCGCCAACTAGAGTCTGCTCGTCTGCCGCCGCACTGCCGCCGCGTCCGTTTGTGTTCCGTGAGCCGCAGGTCGCAGGTTCAACTACTGGGACACTTTCCGGTTTTCTTCTTTTTAGCGGGTTGCGGGTGACGCACCGAGCCAAAAGGGGCATGGCGTCATGGCGCAGAGGAACTGCGGAAGGAGAGCGAATGGAGGAGGGGGAGGGGAAGGGCATAAAGGCGTGCAGGGCGTAGTGCGCAGAGATTAGTCGTGCACCGACAGCCCAGAGAGCCAGTGACACCCTGCCGCGGCTTTGATTGGAGTCTCCGAGCGCCGAACCAGTGATCAACACATCAACCCACCGTACCGTCTCGCGTTCAAGCGAAGTATGTTGGCTTTCAAGCAGTGTCGTGGCCGCGGGGAAGGGGAAGGGGTTGCCGATTGTTGCCGATGGCTAGGCGATTTGAAGTACTTGCATGTGAGTGGACAAAAAGCGCGGCAAAACGCCCCGCTTCGGGCAAGGCTGAGGCTGAGGCTGCACCACTGTGCCGTCAGGTGATGTACACCTGACTGTGTGTTCTGTCGTCTTCACTTCTTTTCTATTGCTGGAAGCTTTAAAAAAAAAAAACTCGTCCAAATTGAATTTTGGCTGTTTTTACTGATAACTTCCATTCCGTGATTTTTTTTGAAAAGAAAAGGTTGTTTCTTTTCTTTTTGTTGCGAAATCTTTTCTTTGGCGTCCGGGTAATGCCGATACTTTGGGGCCGAATAGCTCGCAGCATTTCGGCAGAGCGTTTTCCTGCGATTGGCTTCGACCGTCACGCGACAACACTCTTGGGCGGACTTTGGGGGGACTTGGGGCTAAGGCCCCGCGGACCCGGAAGACGCCGCAACCGTCGCCGCGACCGTCGCCAAGGCCGCCGCCAAGGCCGCCGAGGCCGACATCGCGATAAAGAGCAACGACGCCGATAAGCACCCACCCCGCCCCGCCCGGCCCCGTGTACGCCTCGGGTACGCCTCGGGTACGCCTCGGGTACGCCTCGGGTACGCCTCGGGTACGCCTCGGGTACGCCTCGGGTACGCCTCGGGTACGCCTCGGGTACGCCTGGGGTACGCCTCGGGTACGCCTCGGGTACGCCTCGGGTACGCCTCGCTACCAGTTGCGTACTGAGCAAAGCGGCATGAATAACATCGCACTAATGAGCAGCGAGAGCGCGCGTGTGTGTGAGTGTAGGTGACACACACACACGCACACATGCGCGCAGTGCAACTACTGCAGGCGACAAGTGGTGCCCGCGCCGCGCTGTGCTTGCGCTATGCCGTCACTGCGTGCCCCGGCCTGCCCTGGCCTGCCCGTGCACTTGACATTGATCTACGTAACCGACCGTGAAACGCCCCAACCACTCCCCCTCCCCCGCACACACACTGAAAAGAAAACCACGGTCGCTGTCCTCTCGCGGAGAGATGCGTCTTCATCGAGTGTTTGGTCTGAGGGGAGCGACGGGGGCAGCTGGGATGAGGTCAGGTTTTGCGTCATTCACAGGCACGATGATTGTGTAAAATACCGCAATCCCTGGCATGCTTAAAGTAAATCCAGGAATTCGGTCACGCTGCCCTCCTCGTCCGCCCATTGGTTCGTCAAGCGGCGAGACGTATGGGCGATTGCGGAAGGCGCGAACGTGTTCAATTAAATGCCCCCCTCCCCCTCCGTGGTTTCCTTGTTTGGCCTTACACTGGCAGCGGCGGGCCAAATCGCCCTGCCCCCGCCCCTCCCCCCGCTCCAACGGATAGGCGCGGCGTGGCGGGCCCGCCGGTGTGGGCCCCTCGTCCCCGCTCCCGCCGCTCCCGCCTCCCGCCGCTCCCACGGGACTCAGAGACAACACCGACAACGCAGATGACACGGCGCGGCCGTGGCCAGGCCGTGGCAGAGCCAGGGCAGAGCCGCAGAGCTGCTGCCTCCTCCAGTGTGCTAGTCCGCCGCGCCAGTCCGTAGGTCACCGCGTCGCCGCGTCTCCGAGTGCCCGGCCGCCGCGGCCGCACCGCCACACCGCTAGGAGGACGGCGAGCACAGTGTGCGTGACGCGCCCAAAACACAGCAAACCGAAATTTGAAACTGAAAATAAATGTCTTGTCCTCCGCAGCATGGTGGCCGCCCTGTGCGTCCTGCTGGTGGCGGTGCTGGGGCACGCCCACCACGCCCTGGCCACCGACATCGCCGTCGGAGGCTGCCACGACAAGGAGGTGGTGCAGAACTTTGACGTCCAGAGGGTGAGTGTGCGCGTCCAAAATTCTCAACCTCCCCGTCACAAAAAAAAAACAGTGTCTTGCCTCTTCCAGTACTCGGGCTTGTGGTACGAGATTTCCCGCTACTGGCAGTTTTTCGAGCTGAACGGCAAGTGCGTGACCGCCGAGTACACCTTCAACGCCACCAGCGGCAGGGTGGGCGTCAAGAACAGCATGGTGGATGCCACGTAAGCTCGCCGAAATGACGTCATCCGTGGAGGCGGTCAAAATCCCGAACGCGTTTTGAGCTCTAGAGTCGCTGCATGGGACTCCAACCGAAATCCATTGGTGGGCTCACTCACACTTTCGGTTCGAGTTCCATTTAGCGACTCTGTAGCTCAAAACGCGTCCAGAGTTTTGACCGCCTCGACCGGCACTGTGCAGCGCTCGGTTGGTGGTAAGCGCCTGCCGGGTAGGCCACCACCCATCGTCCTACGCACCGGTGCGGGCAAGTGGCCTACCTTCATTACCATTACCATTACCATTACGGGCTAGACCACAACTGATCGTATGCCAGCCATTTCGAGCTCGGACCGTGCGCTCTGCGGTGGCCAGTCTGGAAAATGAACTTTTTTTGAGTGTACGTGTTCTGCGTATTTTCGGCTTCTGTTTCGCTGCACAGCTCTCTGCAAGCCAAGTCCATCGAGGGCTTCGCGGAGCTCGCCGACCCGTCCGCCAGCCCTGCCGTCGGCAAGCTCACAGTCACGTTCAAAATACCAGGTTCGTGTTCGTGGGGCACTGCCAGCTGCGGCTGAGCTCTGTCTCTCTCGCACCCGCACGGTCCGTACGGGACGCTCCGTGAGTGCGAGAGAGAGAGAGAAAGGGGGACTTCCCGCTCGGAATCAGTCTGCCGCTCTTGATTTCCCCACCGGATAGTCCTCGCCGCGGCACGGCCGAGGCCCTGGCCGGGGCCGGTAGGCTGTCTCTCTCGCACCCCGGCGGGCGCGCGGCGGGAGGCCCCGTCCTTCTCTTCGCCCTCCTCGTCCTCGTCCCACTCGGGGCTGTGCCACGGCTGCGCTGTGCAATTTAACTCCCTCTCGCTCAACTCGTTTGCAGTGGTGGGCGACCAGCGCGCGCCCTACTGGGTGCTGGACACCGACTACGTCAACTACGCCGTCGTGTACTCGTGCAACAACATCTTTTTCGGCGCGCTGCGAGTCGGTAAGGGAACGCACGGAATGCAGCCGTTGTGGCACTTGATAGTGTAGACGGGCGGGCGGGGCGGCCGGGCCCCCGAAGCACGAAAACCAGACAAGGTCCCTCCGCCGCAAGAATCCTGAAAAATTCCTCGCCGGCATCGCCACTGGCTTTGCTTTTTGCTTTGCATTCAGCTCGCATGCTCGGCTCGGTTCGGATCCCCCCCTCCCCCCTCTCGGTGCGCGGACTGCGCGGTACGCCCTCCCGCTCCCTGTATGGGGCGGAGGCGACACGTCCGGAACACGCCCGCCTCGCCCCTCGCGTGGCCCACGGCCTGTGGAATCCATCATTAGTCTTATCAAGTTTCATTCAGCATCACTCTGGTTGCTAGCAGCAATATTCGTTTTTCCCTTTCAATCTGAGACGGTGGCTTATTTTAGGCTTATTTTAGCAGGGTCAAGTAGTTCGACATGGTGCCAGAGTCGTCCTTCTGAAAGAGTAGGTCAGGATTTCTACTTCGTATGTTTTCTCCCTTTTTTTTGCAGAGTCAGCCTGGGTCTTGAGCAGAACACCCCACGTCACGGACCCTGCCGTCCAGCGGGCCATCGAAGCCGCTATCGCCAAGGCGGACCTCAAGCCGAGCAGCTTGCTGAAGACAGAGCAAGACTGCCCCCCATCAACGACCGCGCAATAGAAGCCATGTGTTGTTTCTCTCTCTCGCTCCATCCCTGTCACAGCCTGCAGACGACACGCTAAGTGTTATTGGTTTAAAAATAAAAAAAAAGAAGTGTAGTTAGTGTGTTGAGTTGCATTGCATTGCATCCCCTAAGCACTTTCGGCCTCGGGTGCCATGGCGTGCCACGCTTGAATGCAGGCCCATTTTTTCTGGTGGGTGTTCCTTGGCAAGTTGGGCTTCAATGAAAAATGAATTTAGAAAAGAATGACTATCTTTTTATTGATAAGAGAATAATTGTTACTAAGTACAAGATACAAGTGTATTATCTGTACATTGCATTTTTAAGTCACGTGCCTTTTTATACTTCAAAGCACAAGTAAAGTAATACCATGTTCGAATTAATTTTAAAATAAATCATCAAAAGACCGTTTACGAGTCCACTCTACAAAATGAATTGTACTGTCATGAAAAAGAAGGATGTAGAGGAAGAAGTACACGCTCAACAGGTAGAATTATAAATACTACATTTGAAGAGAGAACAAAAAAGTTAGGATAAAAGCTATCTTCTCCAACATGTTGTTTGTCTTGCACATGACAAGTAAATATAATACTATACCAGGCCATTAATCCTAAATATTTACAAGTTGTACAGCACTTAAACCAAAGTTTATTACAAAATAAAGTTAAGTTGTCATAGACTTACTGGATTAGAACAGAACAGATACCAAGCATGAGCTCATGTCCATATAGAATGAAGTGTGTTCACAGCAACAAGTGCAATGCATTTCTGAATGGAGATAACTACACAAGTAAAACATTGATAATCGGATCACAAAAGTGGGGCAATATTCCTAATAAGAAGTTACACGTATGACCTTGATTGACAGTACGGTACCTTTGAGAAATGACAAGTGATAGAGAGAATGTAGTTCCAACACCAAAAGTCATCCAAAAGTATTGTGATATTTACTAACTACTTAACAGGCAGTGACCTCCGCAAATAGCTTTTGCAAATGAGAAACTATCTAGCATCTCTAAGTAGACAATGGTATTTCCATCAATGTGACAGATACAATTGGTCCATTCCAGCCAGTAAATCATCAAAAGACATCAAACTTAATGAAATCTACAAAAAGCAGGGGGCAATTGTTGAAGATGCGGAAAAAGAATCAAATTAATTAATGCTTTATCACCACCAGTCCTTGAGAAAAAATGAACCATAAGGGTCATCTGATTAATCATCAACAAGAGGACAAGGGGCATGAAAAGAATGCTCAGGGCTAGAAGCAGTTAGTCTCTAGTAATACAATAATCCAGCCTTTGATTGATGATTTTACAGCCTTGAAAGAAGAACACACGACATGTATAGCAATGTAGTTCCTATGGACAGGGCTTGGATTCTGAGCTATTATGGACGGCAGTATTTCCCCCACACATAAGTTACACATAAAATCTATAAATAAAAAAGTAAAAAAGGAAAGCAAAGTGGAGATACAGGAGATACAAACAAAACACATACAATGTTAAATGTTGCTTTGCTTTTGTCTCATCACAGTAGACAGAAGTGTCTATCTTTCCATGCCAACAAATATTAAAAATCATGACAAAGCATTAACTTGCTGGTCAACTAAATATTTAGATGGCATGATTTATCGTACAGATCATAAAACATCTGTTTAAAATCACAGATTGTTTTCAAAAAGCCTCAAGCTCTTTGCTAGAACATGCTTGGTAACTTAAAATTGAAAACTTAAAGTGTCTTTGTTTAATTACATGTCCATCTCCAGGATTAAACAAATAATATGAATAACAATAATAGTTTTAAATGAACCTTGACACCGGTATGATAAAGAAGTTAGCAAGTTGAAGTGCTCATCATGTTCATACTAAAATTACAATTAATATGGCAAAACTAAATACAAACATTCTGTCTTAATTGATAAACAGTGACTGGCATATGATTTCAAGCACAGTACATCAACAAAAAAGAAACAAAACAAAAAAAGGCGAGAAGAAGAACCATACACCTTACATGTATTAATTTGTAAGGTCAGAGAAACAAGCTCAGTTAGCAAATATGCAGTGAGAGTGCTGCAGAAACAAATCGAAAATGTTATTGACAAATCTAGCTTAAAATATTGGGATTGCACACATCCTCTTGATTAAAGAGATAAAATTAAGTCTCATCAACTTTAAGTGCTAAATGGAATGAACAAATTTTGTATTATTACGGTAAAAAGCTCTACTGACTAGGATTTGGTTAGTGATTAAGAGGGTAGACACATGGAATGACTGTACTTTCAATACTCAAAATAGCTTCTTGTAATGCCTATTCAAGTTAAGTTGTCAAAATTAAACTATGAAAATCACCTACACTATAGTTAAGGTAGAAGACAATTTGTTTAAAATTATGACAACAGTTTGTGACAAGCATTACAAAATTTAAAAACAGAGACAAATAGATATTTTAGAGAAAAATATACACTTTGCAAACATGTTCCCATTCCTGCAAGACAAAAGACATGATATTCTAAGATGCAGTCTTTATCCAAAGGGATGAGATTCAAACCTAGTTTAAACTATACAAAGAGCCATACAGATCAAGGAAACAAGTTACGCATGAATATCAATTGTACTGATTGGCATATTTCACGACAAAATAACAAGCAAATTACAGTTTTTAATGATTGGTGTTCACATGAATAAATTAGTGACATAGTATTTCTACTTATACACACCTATGAAGGAATGATAAAACCTGTTGTAAGACACATTACAATACTAGGGTGAATATTGCTTCAAGTTTTAAGCATCAAGAGATGTTTAGTATTGTTTGTTAAACCAAGACTGCCAAGTGTTGGCAATAATTACATCCGCCCGAGTTGCGCTTTGCCAAATAAAATATCTGAAGTAGAAAGTCAATAAGATTCCATGTAAACTTTATTTGTAAATTGATAATGCATCACATGTTTACTTATAGTAGGAAAAAAAAACTAAGATAAACAAAAAAAAACAAAAAAAAAACAATAAAATGAAGGGTTGACTTGCATCCATTTAAGGCTCCTTTTTAAAACTCTGATGAATGTCACCCAAAAGCACTTTGAGCAGTCATAACCAATCTGTGCATTAGCTGCGGCTAGAAAACATATCAGGATCTATAACGAAACAGGAAGCTTTTGTTGCAGTTGTAGGCAGCATTACTAGTCGGGCCCTATCAGTATTAAAGTAAGCTACAACACTCTGTGACATGTAAGAGGCATATCTCAGTCTTTGTTTTCTCACACAAGTCACATATCCCAAAACAGTCACAAAATTTGAGCCAAGAGAAACAAAATAACAAACAAATTTAATTTTGTACTAATAATAAGAAACAGTTTTGTTGAAGTTTTTCTTTTCCAGGGGGAGGGGCCTGAGGCACAGTACACAAATGAGCTACGAGAGCTATAATCAAGGGCAATCAAAACATTTTCTCTTCAAAAACATGAGCAATTTTGCCCATGAGTATTAGTTAAGTAACATTGGGAAAGTGTTAATTTAAAAGTATCCATTGAACATGCAACAATGCTCTTATGGTAGAAAACACCAAAATGATGCATTTGGTTGAATCCTGAGTCTTGATTGGTTGATTCCATGGCCAGAGTTAGACAGAGGGTAATGCAGGAGTTCTTATGCCAGGATTAAAGTAAGCAAAAGGACTAAGCACTTACCAATTGAAGAAAATCCTACCTACTATGATGAGAGAGAACCTGTAAGAAGAGACAGTTGGATAGTGAGGAAAATGTTAAAAAGAATAGAAACCACACCTCATGTCAAGTAGTTAGTAATGCAAAAAGCATGCAAAATTTAAAAAAAAAAAAATAATGAAAAAAATTAATGCATATTAGCCAGGGTTTAGCCTTCCACTTTATTAATACCAGAGAACCATTGACCCACTGGGTTAGTTGGAGACGGCAGAACCAAGGCTGTTCATGTTTTTCATTAAATTGATCTCAACTTTACAGGACAATTTACAAGAATATAGCTCACCTTCAGCTTTCTCATCATCTGAGTCATCGTCCCCACCACCAGCCTGGCCTTCTTCTGCCTCATCTGAGTCGTCGTCATCGGAACTGCTCGAGCTGCTACTCGAACTACTGGAACTACTACTGCTACTACTTCCATCTGATCTGCTGCTGGAACTACTATCAGAACTATCTTCATTTGCATCAACCCCATTTGATTGGTCAGATTCTTCCTTTGCCTTGCCAACAGGTTTAGTTTCTGTTTCATTCCTTTCTGAACACTGTTTGTAATGTTTTGTCAAATCTAAGTACGAAGAGAAGGTGGCCGTGTTGCATCGCTCACATGAGAATGTCTCCTGTTTAGAGGATTGACCTAAAGAATGTTCACAATTTGCTTTGATGTGTTTAGCAAGAGCATCTTTGGCTTGGAACACCATTGAGCACTTGGGACATACAAATAATTCCATATCGTCACCATCGTCAGAATCATCTGATGACTCGCTATCACTCTCTTCTGCTTCTGGTTTGGGTCTGCGAGATTGCTGGTGAGTAACACTGTGCTGTTTAAGTTCATCTTCTGTTGAGAATGCTTTGAAACAAGTTGGACAACTGTGCAAAGTAGAGGATTGAGCTAATTCATTTTCAAGTCCAAGATGAATACTGTTATGTAGCTCAAGCTTGGATCGGGCATTGTGGTAGCGACCACAAACTCTACACGTAAAATTTTTGCCTTCGCCTTCCCATGTATCAGGATGCATTTCATTTAGGTGGGTCTTCAGGGATGAATAATCTGTGCATATCTCAAGACACACTCCACATGTTGTAGCAGCAGCTTCTCGATGTGTTCGTATGAGATGTTGCCACTGCTGCCTTAATGAAGGCCACACCTTGTTGCAAAGCTCGCAGTGAATAGGTCCTTCATTTTCACCATATACTTTGCGCTGAACCCTGTTAGGCCGCGATGACGAACTCCCAGCAGCATCTTTGCCACCATCATCACCGCCTTCAAGGAAGTGACCATTGAACCCTGCCATATCAGCAAACTGTGCCACTTCTTTAGACTCTTCTCTGAAAGCCATTTTACCTGATTCTAGGGTCTTTTGCAATATCGAACTCCTGCCTTGTTTGCATAAATTAACATGCTTTGAATAAATCAGTTCATTGGAAAATTTCTTATCACACGATTCACACTGGAATGGGGTGGAGTTTGATCGATGCCTCTGATTTTGATGTTGCATGAGAAGTGCTGGCAACCGGAATGTTTCTTTACAAAGATTGCACTTGTATGACCTCCTTGGTCTCCCTTCTGGATTTGTAAAAAGTTGGGTGGCAACTTCCTCATCTGAACCCGATGAGACTTCAGATGCTTGAGAGTCCACATTCCTATTATTAATCCGCTTATGCACTGGTTTTGAGTCCACTCCATTCATGGCAAGCTCACTCATGTCACTATCAGCTTTTGAGTTTTCTTCAACAGACTTTTCTTCTGAGTGCGATTCTTGAGATTCTTCTTCATCTTCACCATCATTCTCCTCTTCTTCATCCTCATCATCTCCATCACTGTCCCCCTCGTCATTGTCTTCGTCGTCGTCATCGTCGTCATCATCGTCGTCATCATCATCATCTTCTTCCTCAATGTGATTTTTATCCTCTTTCTCATTTTCGTCATCGGAAGATGAGTCATCACTCTCCTCTTCGGCATCTTCTTCTTCCTTCAGGTGCTTTTCTTCAACATGCTTCTGCAGTTCCTCTGGACTCTTGAAATATCCCAAGCAGACAGTGCACAGCCGGTCAGCTCCATCATGAACATTTTTGACATGTTTCACAAGGCGAGAACGTGTGCCACAAGTTTTGGCACACACTTGACATGTGTGAGCACGGCTGACAATAGTGGGGTGTTCTGAGTTAACATGGGCTTGAAGGTCTTCAGGTACTGGGAAGGATGCTATGCAAACACAGCAAATGGAACTTGAAGCAACCTTGTGATGTGTCAGCTGAAAGATTGAAGGCAACAAAAAGAGTAAGTTATGAACGTGTCATGATTGAAAGTACAGTTGGTTTACCCACATAAGAGATGGAAATAACGTACCAAATGCTTTCTCAAGCGGACCCTACTATCATGAATCTCTCCACATTTCCGGCATGTTGGAGGAGTGCGGTTTTCTTTATGTTGCTTCTCATGTTTTTCTCGATCTGCACCACACCTCAGGACAACACCACATCCCTCAAAGGCACATGTTAATTGTTCTGTAGAAGAAAAAAAGATGATTGCATTAACCTGTAGTTGAATTAAAAATCAGCCGTTCAAAAAACCATTTCTATGATTAACTGCAAAATACCTCTATGAGCTATCATCACATGTTCAAGCATAGCTGTCTTGCTTGGCAAGCCAACAGAACCACACAGCTCGCAGTCATAAGTTGCATGAATATTGCGTTCATGTTCTCTCAAGGCCTTCCTTGTTGTAAATATCTTAGAGCATGACTGACAAGAGACAGGTCCTTTTGGTACAATATCCCAGTTTGGTGAATCACCACCAGATAAATGATGTGCCTTAGTGGAGGCTGTTGTTCTGCAACTTTTGAGGTGACGCAACATCCTATAGCGGTTGCAGAACACTTTGGCACACTGTGGGCAGGCCTGTGGTCCTAATACACGCTCAGACTGTAATAAAGAAAAATCTCATTAATGACTAGGATAAGATCATGTCTAGGTGAAACGTGCTTTGAATTAACTAAGAAATTTACCTTTGATTGTGATGTTGGTGGAGTTGGTGGAGCCGTAGCTGCATAGTCCACATGACCAAGAACACCAGGACGATGCAGTTTAAGGACGTGACTGCGCAGGTGAGATTTAGATGCTGATATTTTCCCACAGTGCGTACATGTGACGGAAGGATGCCCCCTATGCATCTTATTTACGTGCTTCCACAAATGTGATGTGCGACCATAAAATTTGTCACAAAGATCACATGTGAGCATTCCATGATCAGCCCTTCGGTGCTGAATCAATTCTTCTCGAGATGAGAAAGTGCGATTTGGGCACCCATCACAGTGATAGTTTCCTCCTTTGCTCTTCACTGAAGTTTCCACTGGTTCGCTTTTGACAGCCACTGGTTTTTTAGTCGGTGTGTCATCTTCAACTGGTGTTTCAACATCATCTTCACCGGGTAGAGAGAAATGTATTGTACGATGCCGGGACATTTTGGACCTATTTGAGTATGGCCGCCCACAAATATCACAGCAGTAATCGCCTCCAGTCAAAGGATAGTGCCGAATTTTGACATGCTCCTTAAGTTGATACAGGTCAGGCAGCACCTTGAGGCAAACTCCACAAGTGTAGGGTACTACCTCAGCATGCACACCCATCATATGCTTCCAATAGTCCACACGAGAATTCCACAACTTTCCACAAATCTGTATGTCGGGTGAGAGAGGAAAAAGTTGTTAACAGTTGATAAAAACATCAGAAGGCCTAATTTCAACCAAATCAAAGTACAGACCTCGCAGGTGTTGGGAGTTGTTCCTTGAACTTTGTGGTGGTTGACATGCTCCTGATTCAATTCAGCCGAGGGGAATACTTTACCACAGCTACTACGAGTGCATGTTACACTGGGATCACCACCATGTACCTCATAAACATGTTTCCATCGATCAGATTTACTTTGATGAGACACACCACAAATTTCGCATCGGAAGAAAAGATGGTATGTGCCAACTCCAGTAGCAGCATGCACCTGCATCAAATGTTACATTAAATACAATTCACAAAACAAAAAATCAGCTAACAACAAACATTTGATCAACATACCGAAGCTTCTTGTCGATGGGCGTTTTGCTTGTGCTTGACCATTTTTTCCTCGTTGGGAAAGATTTTTAAGCAAATCTGGCAAGCAAATGGAGAGTTTGCTGCAACAGATGCAGCTGCTGTTGCAGCATTGTTCCCTGAACTTGCCGAGATGTTAGCAGGATTAATAGTAAATGAAGTATCATGGCTATCCTGTTCTTCGTTATCAATATCAACTTGATTCTCAGCCTGATACAGATCAGAGTTCAGAATTATGAGGTCCTCTGGTTTTGAGGATCCAATTTCATGGATCAGAACATGCGCCAACAGTTTTTTGCGAGAATCGTGTTGCCTCATACATATTGAGCAGCTGAAAGAGATAAAATTGATGAAACAACAGTAATGAAACCTACCAATGATAATTCCAATAAACATAAAAGTAAAATACCTGTATCTTCTTTTTTCAACAAGCAACTGACTTGTGGAGTGACTGGTCTGAATATGGGATGCCAAACTTGTCAAGTCTCCACACACCTTTAAACAAAGGCCACATGCTGTTGCTGCTGCGTCTTTGTGAGTGTACAACATATGTAACCAAAGACTGGAGCGGTCTGTAAATTCACGAATGCAGGCCTCACAGCAGAACACCTGTGAAATTTAAAAAATAAAAGAATAAAGCAAAGAATTTAAAACTTAGCAATGCAAATGTAGGTTGAATGAAAAATTAAGATGAACACAAACCGTTTCAGACTCCAGCATGCTCTCAGCAAGCATGTGATGATCATGCTCATCATCTCCATCAATATACTCTGTCTTGATGTTAACCTCCATTTTCTGATCAATTAACTCAGAATCAATGCCATGTTCATTTAGAAGGTGGCGGTGAAGAGAGCTCCTAAATCAATCAATACAATCAAAATTTGAGAAATACTAGATTCATTAAGGATGCAATTAATTAACCAGCAAATAATTGCAATTCTACTGACCTAAGGGTGAAGTTTTGCTCACATAGGAAGCAAGAGTGACTATCAGAGTTAATCATGGAACGACCCTGAGCCTCTGCGATGGCTTGAGTCTCTGCCTCATGTTCCTCCTCATGCTTCTTTGTGTGTTCCATTAGTTGGGCCACATCTGGGAACTTGTCAGGGCACAAAACACATTGGAGTGGTTCGTTATCCCCTTCTTCTGAAATCAGAGAGAATAAAATTTGAACACTAGACTCATTGAAAGCCACTGCAACAGATCTTTGGTAGCCTCATACCTGCCAGGGACTCAGAACTATGAGAGCGGGCAATTCGCCTTGGCTTAGAACGCTTTCTTCGGTTTCCAGCATCATCTGAGGAAGGCCTCTTACCATTCTGATTGAACTCGCTATCTGAATCATTCTTACTGTAAGACCTCTTTTTAGGAGAGAGACCATCATCATCACTGGTTTGTTTAGATCTGCCACTTGGAGTTTTTGGAGAAACAATGTAGTCCATTTCAGCCCCCTAGGTAAAAACAAAATCAAAACATGTATCTAATACTACAACACTAGAAAATGTACCAAAGTCTTTCCAATAATTCTTAAAATTACTCTAAGATATTTCCTGATTAGAAATTTTTGGGCCAATTCATATACAGACCAATTAAAGTCATGCTTTTTCTCCACAATGTAAACCAACTTACCTCATCTGAAGCTCCCTCGCCAATGTTTTCACCATGCTTTGTTCTCTTATGTTCTTCTAGATTATTGACTGAAGAAAACAGCCGATGGCACTCTGGACAAGTCACAGCAGGATCACCTCTGTGATTTGAACTAACATGTCCCCACAGATGTTTCGATGAAGAATAGCTCTTGTTGCACAGATCGCACCGATATGGGCGACAGTACTGAGAGCCTTGAGAGGAATTACCTCTTGGTGTGGTGGAGCTACTGTTGAGACAATGACTATCCGAAGGATCATCTCCATGAATACGAAGATGCAAGGACAGATGACCCTTACTGGACAAAGCTTTTCCACAAACTTTGCATGTAAATAGTTCACATGGTTCAGAAGACTTTTGAGTAGAACTTAGAGATGCAGAAGAGATTTTTCTGAAGAAAAAAAAAACCATAAAATTAGTTAGAAACACAATCAAAGTTTTGACAAAAAAATATCAATACACTTACTTTGACAGGGTGCCGGATTGCTGGGACTCTTCAATTTCAACAGCCTAAATACAATCCAACAATTAGTAACTGGGTTACAGCAATGTCAAAGGCGAATCAAGGCCCAGTAGAAACAAAAGCTTACCACATTGGACTCCAGATAATCAGCAGGATCGATATCAATAACTTTTTCGTCTTCATCATCATCGTCATCTTCATCATCCTCCTCCTCAACATTCTCATCATCCTCAACTTCTTCTACATCATCATCAGTATTGCCACTCTCCTCTTCAACTGCAGATGGAAGTTTGGGCATACCTGAGTCAGACTTTGAGGGTTGCTTCTCATTAGGTACACTACTCTTCCCTCTTGGAATGTCATTTGATTCCTGTTTAACTGAAGCTGATAATGGAATCTGAAAAACAGATGACATGTAACAAATTAAAAGAGAACAGGCACAGACCAAAGCAAAAGATGAGAGTGTTGTACTGCTTACCTCCGGCTCAAGCTGTGGCATAGATGCTTCTTTATCTTTCCGGGTATCCTTTCCCATTTGTTTCATAATTTTTGCTCTCTTGTCAGCTGAAGCTTTATCCAAATGTTTCTAATGTACACACAGAAAAAATGTATTACATAATGTTCTATCGTTCAGCACCTGACAAAATTTTGTGGTTATGTTGTCAATAAAATGCATCTGAAAGCCGTCACTTACCCCTCCATCTGGGTGGAGGCAGCTCTCTAAGAGAGCCACAGCATTAACACACCCCATTCGAAAATCATAGAAGTTTTCTAAATTGTACATGCATCGGTAACACAGAGATTTGGGAAGGGAATCATCTTGGGAGATCTGGGGAGAAGAAGAAACAGACAAAATGTAAACAAACACTACTGACAGATCAAATTATTGTGGCCACAGGAAAAATAAAGATATATAAAAGTAGAGGTGCCTTCTGACTGTTCGTCAGTTTAATTTCATACTTTCTACTTAATGGTCTTTATTTTTCCATTTATAATGACAAAATGAAATAACTGAGAGTCAATTCACTTGAGGGGATACTACTACCCCCAATTGAAACCTCGGCCAAATGGAAGAAGCTTTTTTGAATGACACCCAAGCACCAAGCCGACGACGCGGAGGTGGAGCGGTACGCCGTCCTGGGCCACTCTCCTTCATTTGCAGATGGTTTAAGAGTAAACCCCTTCATTTTTCCCATACAACTCAAAATTTTGGAATGCAATCGGCTTGGCCAGTGGTTTTAATCCACTGTGAGTGTCAGAAGTGGATCGTGTGCGTGCTCGGTCGGGAGGACGTCACGCCAGGGGCTCGAAGGACGGCCCAGGACGTCAACGTCGGACTCGTCGGACAGGTGCAGGACTTACCTGGAATGGTAGGCAGGTCTCGATCTTCTCCACCAAGCTCCTCTCCTTCCCCTCCTCCCCGAATATTTCCAATTTAACAGCATCGTAAGTCGCACAGAGACGACACAAGCTGTTAAAGCTGTCCACCCGGCTATCGATTCTACTCATAGCTCTTCATCAAAATACTTTCATTTGGGGTCAGCAATCAGCGAAGCATGTCCGACGACCACCTTGCACCAAGCCTCCGCCCGGGCTTAAACGGCATTCGGCGACCAGGCCGAGGAAAACACCACACTCACACTCAGAGCAACACTTATTAATGCGATTACAGAGGAGCCGCGGACAGAAAATCATAGCAAACTGGGCCTAAGCCTAAGACTTTGGAGAAAACAAACATCCCTCATCGTCCATTACGTGATGACAAACTCATAGCCTTCACGATCTCCTACAAGGAGTGCCTCAGCGCGGCAGTTTCTCCCACCCCCAACTCCACCAACCCCCGCCCCCGCTCACCTCGCCCACCCGCTCCTAGCCAAACACACCCCACCCGAGAAACGAGAAAACAGACAAACTTCGTGATATATGGTCCAATAAAGGCTCACAGCTCAGGAAGAAGAAAACGTTACATGTTTCCAAACAGAAAGAATTCATCCGAAAGGTTTGAATGATTTTAAAAGGTGGAAAGAAAAGAGCAATGAGCTGCGTACAGTCACGCAAAATGAAAGTAACCTCTAGTCTTAACTTGTTGCGATTTCCAGAGTATAACAGCGGCCAACATATCATAATTTTTAAACACAGGAAGAATTTATTCAAAGAAAACTTGATAGGTCCAATCAATGTTTTCTTGACTTTCCCGGGGGGAGGGGAGGGGGTGCAGCGGGGTGGTAACTCTCCTGAAACAAGGCAGGAGAAATCGATAATTTTTTTCTAGTGAAACTTAACCAAAATAGCTAAAAGATATTTGTTGTTTGAACGAAGAGTCGTCCATCACCGTTTGTGAGATTAATCCTCGTCCAAGAGCATCATGGCGGTTTGGAAGTTCAAAATAACGCGCCAGGATGCCGGGAGAGAAGCAGTCCCGCCGAGCCTTTTCCGGTCAGTCTCCCCGAAATTGAAGACCTGTGGCTGGACGACTGAAAAGTTTGGTGGAGTGAGGAGTGGAGGTGGAGGCCGTAAGGACCGGACTGGATGCAAATTTTTCTGAAAAAATTGCAAACGCAGGTCGATTTGAGTCGATTTGGGTGAAATTATGTGCTAAGTGTCAATGACTCTCTCTAGCATGGAATCGGAAGCGCCGAAGAGTGCCCTTGAGACCGAATTTTCGGACATCGACGCCAAGGAAGCTTGGGGGGTCATATTTCAGGTAGCCGCTGTGTTCATGCGATTTCTTCTTAACATTTCCATGATCTTAGTTCCCTTTCTTGGTTTGACAAGTTTCTCGTAAATTCCTGCCTATGTAACGTTTGCCGGATATTATTATCTTTGTGCGAAGGAGTTCTTGTCTGCTGAATGTTGATAGGTGTATAGGCTATGTTTATCTTTAAGTTCACGCTAATTCCTTATATCGGCGGAAGTATAAAGTCCCGTCGCCAGAGTCTACAGTAGTTTGATCCATTTCATTTTCTACATCAGTTCCACAGACTGTTTTTCTTCCTCTATTGGTTCTTACTTAATGTTTCCCTAGCATAGATGTAGTTTCAGGACCATTTGCCTGGACACTGTGACTCGCACAAGTTGAAGGTTTTGTGTATAATTGTTTTACCTCGTATTTGTTTGACGAATTTCTCAAAGCATTGTTGTCACCTTGGAAAAAAAAACAATCTTTATTTGTAGGTCTTAGCTGTGTTTTATAGGAGGCCAGACTTGCAAGTGGATTATCTGTGTCGCCTATTCTTACGTTATCTGTTCTATGTAGCAGTTCTCATTTGATTTTTCCTTTTTAGCATATACGGTCGGAGTGCTTAAACCATGATTTCACTACATGTGAGGCCAAGAAAAAGGACAATGTGGGTTTAAACAGATACCGTGATGTCATCCCCTATGATCACAGCCGCATTGTCCTCAATAGAGGACCCACTGAGTATATTAATGCAAACCTGGTCAAGGTTAGGCTTTGCCATAGCTCTAATGGGATTAACGATAGTGTTACACTTTACTCTATATGTTATTTCTAACTTTTGTTTTCATTTGTCAATGCAGATGGAAAAGGCAGGACGGCAGTACATTCTCACTCAAGGCCCATTACCGTCAACCACTGGGCATTTTTGGCTTATGATATGGGAGCAAAAGTGCAAAGCTATTGTTATGCTAAATAAAATTATTGAAAAAAAGCAGGTTTGTCTATCAGGTTTTCTGTCAGTCTGATTGATTATTATAATGTTAGCCAATGAATCATCATGATCCATTTTTGTTGTAGATTAAGTGTCACATGTATTGGCCTAGTGGAAAGCACCCTGGTGTCGATGACACTTTGGATTTGCCTGATGTAGGCTTGAAAGTACAACACCTGTCAGAGACGGAAGCCTCTTATTACATAACAAGAGTTTTCAGGTGTGTACTTATGGAGAAGCAATTATGTTTGAGTACTTTGATCTTGCATGCTCTTCATTGTCATCTTTACATGATTCCAGGTTGACTGAAGTTGCAACTGGAGAGAGTAGGGAAGTTCTTCAATTTCATTACATGACTTGGCCAGACTTCGGAGTACCTCAAAGCCCTACGGTCTTCTTACGTTTCCTTTCTGTTGTTCGTAAAAGTGGAGCTCTGGATTCAGATGTAGGCCCAGCAGTTGTTCACTGTTCAGCAGGAATTGGTCGGTCAGGAACATTTTGTTTAGTGGATTCGTGCCTAGTCTTGGTATGTTTCTATGGTATAAATTTTTCTTGTTAGAAAAGTAGTAAAGTTTGCTCTGTAACATATTTATTTTTCACATAGATGGAAGAATATGGGGCTGATGCAGTTAAAGTAAGAGATGTTCTTTTAGAAATGCGACGATACCGAATGGGACTTGCACAGACTCCTGATCAGTTGCGTTTCTCATACCTTGCAATAATTAAGGGCCATAGAGATGGCCTAGAGGATGATGACCTGGTATGTTCCTGACAGTTTATCCAGACATTCTCTATTTCTTGTATTAATAATAATAAATTTGGAACCAGTACTGTATTTAAGTTAGAACTGGTGCCTTTCTATTAATTTTGAATTTATTCTCATATTGTCTTTTCTATTTTGAAGGATAATTCAGAAAAAGACATTGAGCTAGAGGTGCTAGATAATCATGCAGATGAACCACCACCTCTGCCACCTCCACGAGGGGAATCTTTGGCTAGGTCTAATGCATCCAGCATAGATTCTCAGCCATCATCTCCTGAAGCTGACTCAGTGTCAGAAGCTGACAGGTATGATGTCTCCTAACAATGTTAAGTGCTCCTCATGCTTCTTGTAGTGATAAATGTTAATACTTGCATTTCTATCTTTTTAAATACCAGCGATGAATCAGAATCCTCAACTGAGGCCCCCACCAGACCACTACCTACAGAACCATTTAGTGAAAGTATGCAGAGTGATTCTGTATCCTCTGATCCTCCTAGCAGACCGCTTCCTGAATTGCCAGAGCATATGAGCTCTTCTGAGGGGTCTCTGGAGGTCAATTCAAATCCTGATAGTCCAGTGCTAAGTGAAAGGTAAAGACTTTGTCTAGCTTGGGATGTATTATTGAAAACACAATTCCTTTAGTGTCTACGATTGTTCATTTGGCTTTCTTGTTGCAGTGATGATGGATTACGAGAACGTCGGAAGTCGGAGAGATCAGATCGCAACGACCGAATGAGGGAGAAAATCCAAGGCATGAAGCGCAAGCAGAAGCAGGCTGATGAGTGGCAGCAGTTGAAGAGGTCTATATTCCAGCCAATGAACATTGGTCTCGCTATTTTGGTCTTGGGGGGTGGGGCATTGGTTTATTCTTACTATGCCAGTCGTTCTTAGGATACATAGGTATTGGGTAGATGTGGTGGAGCTGGTGACCTCATCCCTGTACAGTTCTTATGTACGTTGTCTTATATTATTTCAACTCTTACCTTGACGAGTTGCACTGTCACCTATTTTCATTTAAATCTTTATTGCTTTTTCACTTGTTGAGCTCTGCATTCCTGGACCCACACTTCAATATTTAGTGGATTGCTGTGATCTGCATTTTTTGTGCTCTAATCATTCCCATGTGTTTGCTGCTTTTCACTGACTGGTTCCCATATTCATGTGTTATACCTTTGGAAACGTAGGTAATGCTGCAGACTTTAACCTTTAATTTATCTGAACCCTTCTGGTTAAGTTTGTTTCAATCGATTGAACTTAATATGCCATCAATTGATCCAGAGTTGGGTAGCTTCTGCATTGAGGCAGCTTTGATCCCTATGGCAGGATAAGTACCTACTAATACCAAATTCATCCCCACCCTCTCTCTTTCTCCCCTATGGCTAAGCTGGCTACCATATTATTAGCTGGCTAATTTAGAGTGCCATCACTGTAGTTTTGTAGTATAGTTTTCATTTTTTTAGCAAGTAACGTGCCGAGCGCAAGTAGCATATGTGGTTCCTTATTTTCACATAGTTTACACATCTTGGTTATGGATGCAGTAGATTTTTCAAGTATTGTTGCATGAAGCTATCAAGCTCAACAGTCTTTGCTTTACTCCTTATCCTAAGAAACTCCCCTTAACAGGATCATCTGTGCAGGCTTTATTTCATGCTGCTGGTACCCAAAAATACTTGCAGAACTAAGTCTTAAGAAAGTGAAAATAATGTCCTAAAGGTGTTTTCTTTTCTTTTATGAACATTACACATAATTTTTACTTTCCTAAGTCTTGGTTGATATTGCATAGTAGTGCCATTTTCAAATTTAATTGAGTAAAAGGCATCTTTTATTAAAAAAATAATTTCTTAACACTGTTTTTGAAGCCTCAACTCATAAAAATCATAAGTCTGATGTAATTGTAGGTAACTATAGTATTTGATCTGTGGGGCTGGTTGTAATTGTGCTGTGCTCCTCATATCCACCAGTAATCCGTCACCAAACATATTCATTATTTTTGATGCCGTAAATTTAGCTCCCTTTTTATTCATTCACTAATATAATCAATTAACAAATGTGTTTATCAAACACTGAGTTGGAAGGGCAAAAATCATTGTATCAAGATTATTTATTGTACTGGAATCTTATTGAGCTCTTCTGAACAGATGTCTGTAGTGAGAATTCCTGTTATTGCTTTCTTTTCTCTGACGGAAGGGTCTTAAACATGTTGGATTGGAAATTCGTTTCAAGTCATGGTTCCTATTTCTTTGTTGTGGCTGACTGTTTGTCCACACCATATACTGCACCATACACATTTGAGTAGTTTTCTTGTTTTATTGATTGGTTCAAAATTAAGTTTGTCCTCTGGTGCTAAGAAAGAGCCTGATTAATCTGAAACTTCTCAAGTCGAAGTCATGCCTTTAACTGTCCATGTTAATATGTATTTCAATTGTACTTTTTTGTCAAAAATATTTTGGGTCCTTTAGGTTTTATGTATCTTAGTAAGACACAAGTAAGCACCATTGCATTGCTTTTTTGCATGTGGAAGACTGATTCAAGCTTACTATAACTACCTTAGTGAAATTTTACTGACAATCCAGATAAATATACCTTACAATGTATTTTTTGATGTCGTGGAAGTGCATCCCAGTGTTAAAAAACAGCAAAAAGTCTGGAGATTTCTTTCAGTAATGTTTTTTTTTTTAATGTGGAATATTAAGTAAGCAAGCGACTTAATTTTTGAAATTTACTTTTGTAGATGTTTGGAAATGTGTTCATGAAGGTATTAAGTAGAACTGAAAATGCCAGAGAAACTTTTGCAAAGAGCAGGAGGATCATGGACTTGCTTCGAACATTTTCTAATTCTACGGAGTCTTAGCTGGTTTAACTTGTACTCTCTGATTCCATAATCGGTTGCCTGGAAATCTAAGGTTACCTAAAGAAAGTAACCCACTATTTACAAAATAGAAACATGCAATTTCTTTTCTTATGGGAAATTTGAGATGGTATCTCAGTCTCGGTCTGTGGACTCTGGTTTTCTCCACAACTGATGAATGCGGATTATTATTTTTTTACCTTTTGGACCTAATAAAAAAGGAATATTAAAATATTTTGTCTTTTTCATCAAATATATAACACCAATGTGGTATGTAGAAAGTAGTCTTATATTTTATAAGTTCATTCAGAAATTCTTTGGGAAGAATTTTTATGAAAGGACCTTTCTGAAAAAAGAAAATCAAAGTAACCAAGTACTACGTATGTTAGTTATACTTAATGTGTCGATTCACAAGTATGCTATCAACTTGAAACCATTTGGTTTGAAACATGCTAATATGCCCTATGACTTTAATGAATAGACTGGATGTTCTGTACTCTATAGTTCAGATAGGAACAAAGTTCTGTGATTTGCTTGGCCATTTTCCTATTTGTCTTGAACTAATGGTGCTACTTTGGCTGAATTTTTCATCATGACTGGTTATAGTTAGATTCTCCCTCTTTCTTTGTAGGTATTTTCCCAATACCTATCAGTACCAATTTCTTTTCCTTGTTCTGTTGGAAGTCTGCCATGTTATATTGGATTATCATTAAACCACCTTATGGGACTGGTCAATAACAGTGTAGTGTCACGCTGCACGCCAGCAGACAACTTCTCTCTGAAGGGGCTGCTGCATGTCAATTACTAAGAATATGTGAGCGTACCTATTTTGTTGAGAATTACCAATGCACCTGTCAGTTCTGAAAATTGTTCTTTCTTTAGTCCTGTTCCTTTAATATTTTTCATTGATTGGGTTTGCAAAAACATGAATTGTGTTTCTCCCAATTCCATACTATCGTTGATTCCGTCTTTAAAGTTGTACAGCAATCATATAGAGAAATGTCACTTTGGGTAGTAATTACTGTAATTTTACATTTGAAGGGAATATTGGGTGGACTTACCCCTGTGTAATGCAATCAAACACTCCCCTATTGGCTTATGATTTAGCTTTACTGATGGACGAACAGTTCCAATTACTGTTCTTCTTCAGTTACTTTTTCTTTTTTGTGTTTGTAGTAGCATGGGCATGCCCCATGCCAGACAAACCACACAAGTTTACCAATAGTGCCATTTTATTAGTAGGATCAGCTTTTCTAATAACACATTTCAATGAAAGAGCTTTTCCAATTATATTTTTTCCCTGACTTTCTGGTGTAGTTGATGCTAATTTTCATCCTCATTTATCTGTTCCTAGTGTTGCTGTTATAATCTTAACATAACTGTGTATTTACGTTTTCTATTTTTGTGTGTCTCATATTCATCTAAGTAATGTGAACATGCAAGATGCAATAAACATGTCTCAACATACTTTTTTTTCCTTCAAAAATACTGAAATAATAAATTAGAATATATTTTGGGCCTACCTAATTCTTTTTTTTTCTCTCAAACATTGAAAAGGTCTTATTTTAGATATATCTATCCTTGGTGGTAGACCACACAGAATTCCGTCTTGATATATAGCATATCAATGCAATTTACACTCTAAGATGATAACTTTTTTCAAATCACATTTACACCAACAGTTTATTCCAGCCTTTTCCCTTCCAGATCGTCTAAAGTTGCGAGGCTTCACGACATCAGCGATAGTACTGCAAGTGATTAAATGGGAACGTTCAACACTCCAGCTGCCGAGAAATTCATTAAAATACATTTAAGTGTCAACTGCTGTAGAAGAACACCAGACTTTAGCAATGGAATGTTCCTAGCTCGAGTGAGTATTAATGTTGGTAGTTGCCATTTGATTCATATGACTTAAGTTTTGCCACAGTGCTGGCAAAAGTTTACACAAGAAAACTCTGTGTTTTCTGTTTTCTATTAATGGATGAGAGAATGTCCTGAATAGCATATCTGGATGTTGCTGTTATCTGGTAGGAATTGTTTAAGGTAGCAACCAATGGTTTTAGTCATGGCAATTGATGCAAGTGCTTTGTGATAGTCTCCCAATTTCAAGGTATTAATAACAATATTAAGCAAATTTAGTCACAGTAACTGAATGTAACATATTGGAAAGGGCAGTCCTACAAAAATATATAAATGCTGCATAAATACATTTATGCAGGTGTGCTGAAGTGTGCCAGTGTCATCTTGAATTTGATGTGTGCATTCTGTCGTCTTCCGTATGCATGTGATAATATTTTATGAGGCAAGCTCTCTACAAGTGGATCAGTAACTGTTTGCAGGTCATTTGAAAGTCAGTAATTGCATATGTTGTTAAGTAGAGTTGCTAACAAAAGTCTTATCTTCCAGAAGAAAAAAAAGTTAAACGTTTATCAAATGTTACTGTGTATCAATAGGATGCTATAATACCGTTTCAAATGGGTTTGAATTTTATGTGGAATTCACTCACTATTTATTTCAATTAGCCAACAATATTTTCTACGTGCTCATGCTCATATTGACTAGTAAAGTTTTTCTGTGTTCAGAAAATTTTGAAATGGTTGAATGATTCTCTTTGGCCCTAGCAGTCAAGTTATTTCTGAAATATCTACATGTTGGCTTAAATGCATAATAGAAGGCATGTGATAAAGCCACTTTAGGGAAAATTAATAATGAACGCTTTATGGACAATTGTGTTTTTACAACGGTATTCACGTCTCAAATTATGACGACTTGTTAAGCTATACACTTTTTTAATTGTGTTGTACGTTTTTTTTTTACAAGTATTTAGCAATATTGTACCTGATGGTGTGAAGCTCGCTGTGAAAAATCAAATCATAAGCTTGTGTGTATGAAGTTAAGAATAACTCAATTAAAATTCTGATTACCAAGACACACTGGCTTTTGTTCATTCTTTCTCTTCCTCAACTGTAAGGCTTATCGGTTCGTCCTTTTAGCAACGTTGGCCAGAGAAAGGTAGAGTCCTCCCCACCCTGAAAGGAGATTATGTCGGCCTAGAGAGCCTGTAGACGAAGAGACAAGAGACGAGCCATTCCCCCCCCCCCCTATTACAACAGAGCGCCGGCCAGGTAGGCAGCCCATTTGCCTTGAAGGCTCAAAGCGCCTGCGAGATAGGCAGCCCAACGCACTCGACAGCAAGGTGGGTGTTCGGTCGGAGGCGTGTCGGGCGTCTCCAATGTAGGATCCTCTAAACCGCCGTGCAGCCGCGGGCAGTTCACGGCTCTGATCATTGTAGTCAACGATTCAACGTCACAACACGTGCCAAGGCGAAACGCAACGCGGATCTGGAAACCAACTCGAAGGAAACGGAGACCCTCGCCGCGCCGCGACCTTTCGCCAGGGCCACTCCATTTTCAAGTGGCTTTTTTGTCTCACTTTCGGGAAATCAGCTGTTGCCGCGTCGAGCCACCCTTTTGTGGTCTGCTGGTCATGCGAGAAGGACATGGTCGACATGGTCCGCCTCCTCAGGTTGCTTCCCCCGTCCTCGCGGTCCTCGCCTCGCACCACCGTGCACCACCTGGCTCCCCGGGCGAGGCTCACCCTGCCGGCCGTCCAGGCGTCCCGGTCGCCAGGCAGGATGGCCGGCCCGGCCGGGATCAGGGAGTCGTTGAAGCAGGTGCTGTTGCTGCCGCCGCCGCTGCTGCTGCAGGCCCGCCCCCGGCCCCGCGGCCGCTCCGCCCGGGCAGCCGGGGCCCACGGAGGTAGAGGGGAGGGGGAGTGGAAGGGTAAGGTGCGCCGCGTGAGAGGGGAGGGGACACCGGCCGGCAGGTTGGCGGCGGCTGGAGCGAGCGCGAGCCCGCGAGCGGGCGGGTAGCTTTGTTGAGTTGAGTGAGTGAGTCAGTTTGCGTTTGGCGCCCGTCCGATCTGGTCGGCCAGGTTGACGCCCGCGCGTGTTCGTTCTTGTTCTTCCCGCGCGAGTCCCGCCGGTTGCTAGCAGTGACTAGAGCTAGTAAACAAACTGGTAATAGGCGCACTGTCGGTACTGTTCGAAGGAATAAAAGTCCTCACCGTCGCTCCTGAACGTCCCCCCTCAGTGACTCTCTTTTCAGCCGGGTCTTCGTTCGAGTGTAAAGTCACGCGCTGAATCGCGCTCGTTTCAGCCGGTCTCTCATCAGTGACCAACGCTGACTAGTTTTCAATTTTGTCGCGAAGCTCCGGGGATTTTCTTTGGAGGCAATTTGGCCTGCCACTTTTGAACGGAGCGGCGGTGCCTGTACTTGTCGTCTCCGGAGTCCGCTGAACCGCGAGTGGGTTCAGCCGGTCTCCGATTGGTCGAGAAGCGCGGCCAGTGGTGCGACCGTTTCCGTCATTCTCCCTCTTCCCATCCAGATTCTGTAGTGTGCCCGCGTGCAGTTGGTGGTTCGCGTCTTCGCGTTCGGCCCCCATTTGGATTTTATTTCCTCGTCAGCTCATCGTCCAAGGGTAAGCCGCCTGCCAACCTCTTCTTCAGCCTCAAGCCCCGCGATGCTCCGATATGCTAATGAGTGTGTAGCCGGCGTAGCATTAGTCTGTCGATCCACCAGCGAGGCTCCGTAGATGGAAACTAGATTGTTCGCCCCGTTGTGCCGCTCCGCGGTGGTCCGCGGTGGTCCCCGGCGCCACTAAGGCGCCACCCCTTGGAAGTCTAGTGGGCGCAGTGACGCAGGCACGTTGCTCTGTGTGTGTCCGTTCATCCATGTTCATCCGTTGAAGTTCATCGAGTGAAGTGGCGGCTGTCGGCCTGTCGGCTGCACTGCTGCTGCCGGTGCTTCCCCCACCCCTCCCCCGGACCGGATCTTCCCCTAATCACCCATCCACCTGCTGCCTGCACTGCCTGCTGTTTTGTCAGGCCACTTTCTCTTTCATCCCTCTGTGCCCTTGGTGGTGTGGCAGACTGGCAGACGTTTTCGTCGCTCTGTCTCTCTCGCCCCTATGCGGGACGCCCCATGAGTGGGAGAGAGACCGAGCGAGTGTGCACGCGGACTGCGCGGTGCCCCGAAGCGAGGTCTTCCCCGTACGTGGGGGCGCGCTCGTGCACCGGTGTGGGTGTGTGCGCGGAATTCGGGGAATGCCTCTCGTTGCATCACCGCGCACACCGCGGTCCGGACTGGCTGGCCAGCTTGACCAAGCGAGCCATGCGAGCCCTCACGTCCGGTTCGGCGAATTTGGAGGCGGTGCCTTCGATCTCTCGAAGTGCAAATACGACAAAACTGTTACTTTTCCCGCACCGCGAGCCCCTGCTGGCTGATTCCGAAAAGTGCTTTCGTCGTCGCTCTGTCCCTCTCGCACCCGCGGGGCGTTCCGTAGGCCCGTAGGGGCGCGAGAGAGACGGCGACGGAACGCTGCCTCCGTCGGCGTGTCGGCCCGCTCTTTACATCGATTATCTCGACTCGAGCGATCGTATCGGCCCGGTCGATCGGTCGAGTGGGTGGCGGCGTGGCGGCGCGTGGCGCGGCGGAGTGACACGCTGCGGCAAAGCGATTGAGTGGCGCGGCACTGCCATGAGGTGCCATGAGCAGCCATCGGCCTCCGCGTCGGCGTCCTTCACGGCGCGGGCCGCTTGCCGCTTTCGCCGCGCGGCCGGCGGGAATCGAACCCGGGACTCGAGCGCTGAACCACGCTGCCACTCCCCGAAGCACCCGAAACAAGCGGAAGTCCTTTGAGCCACCCCAACAAGGCCCTGGCCGTCCCGACGGTCCCCCGGCGGGCCGCGCCTCGCCCCGCGACATGTCCATGTCGGCTACCTGAAGCTCTGCACCGCCGGCGTGCTGATGTTGTCTGCGTGCACGCCGTGCGCCGGTTTGGCGACACCACTGCCAGAACCGCCAGAACGGCGAGACGCTAATGCACTTGGCGACGTCGTGGAGGGTGCGGCTCTCTGGCTCTCTGTCTCGGTGCCCGGCACTGCCCGGTCCCGGTGGGGTCTAGTCTCGGGTGCAGTGCAGGACTCAGACGGCGGCAGGGTGCGGCCGCGGCCCGCCGGCGCCTGGAGCGCTGGCGCGCCGTGCGGCGGGGCGGGGGACGACGTTTCGGGGTTTTCACAGTGTCTCGCAGGGGTTCGCACCGCATCCCTTTAACGGGCCGCCGGGCCGACCTTGGCGTCGGTGGGGCGAAAGTGAACCTGGAGCATTGATGTGTGGCGCTGCCGCCCGTTGCTCTGTCTCTCTCGCACCTACAGGTAACGCCGCATGAGTGCGAGAGAGAGACTCTCGGAATCAGAGTGCTACCGCCGTGCTACCGCAGGCCCAGGCCGAGGCCGCCGCCCTCCCTCGCGCCCACGCGTCGCGGCAGTGCGGCCGTGCCGTGTCAAGGCGGCGGGCGGCACGCCGAGCGGCACGCCAAGCAGGCCGTCGCCGTCCTCCCGGCACCACAACGACGCCGCCGCCGTCCAGGGCGCCTCGGCGGCAATGCAGTCATCGGGCTTCATTACGGCACGGCGATGTGCGGTTGAAGCACTCTCTCTCTCGCACCCCGCGGAACGCGCCGTGAGTGCGAGGGAGAGCGCGCCGGCCGGGCTGTGGTGACACCTGTGGCGGCGGGGCTCGGCGTCCAAGGCGCCGCGGCGCACGACGCGGAGGGGTGCGGCTCCTCGTCCTCCCCGAAATGACAAGCAGACGGCCTCGGCCGGGGATCGAACCCACCACCCACCCTCGCTGGATCCGCTCTCCGCGTCGCAGCGCGCGCGGCCGCCAGGACCCACTTCCGCCGCCCCGCCTCCGCCGCCCATTCCATCCATTGAGGGATGCACCGCGCCGCGCGAGGAAACGCGTCGATGTCGTCGTCGTTCGGCGCGCCGCTGATGCGGCAGCTTTCTCAAGGCGGGGCGGGGCGGGGCGGGGCCGGGCCTATCCGGTCTATCCGATCTATCTGAAACGTTACCCCGAGGGCTGAGCTGAGTGTCCCGAGTGTGGCGGCTCGGCTCACTTTATGCCGCGTAAAGTTGCAGAATGGATTTCCCCTCCCCTCCCCCTCCGCCTACGTACTGACGTACTTACACCGTAGTAGCACGCGCGGTGGGCAACGCGTTGCACTGAGCGTACACTGGCAATGCCGTGGCCTCGGAGGTTCTGTGTCTCTGTCTGGCGACCGCGGTCTGGACCAGCCTCAGGTCGCCCTCGCCGCTCTGTCTCTGTCGCACTCTCGGGGATCTCCGTCAGGGTGCGAGGGAGACAGCGGTAATTACACACGTGTCCGGGTCTTTGCTAAGGATTGGGGCGACTTTGGACAGCGGGCGTGGCGAGGGCGGTCCGCGCGGTGGAGTCTGTCAGGTCTGTCTCTCTCGCTCGCGTCGGAACTCTCCGCGAGTGCGAGAGAGGTGCGGCGGCGGGGGCGGTGCCTTGTTTTCGGGGTCGCCACGGGCTTGGACCGCCTGGCCGGGGTTCGAGGTCGGGGCACGGACTGGCCGGCCTCTCAGAGAGAGAGACAAGGCAGGCGGACGGAAACAAGCGAAAATAAATTGGATTAAAAGAATACGAATCCGTTTTGCGGGGGTCGCACCGAAAGATATGGCACCAGGCAAAGCAACCGCGCAACGGGCGCTGCCCTTGTCTTGCTTCTGTCCGTCCGTCCGTCTGTCGGCCTGTCTGTCTGTCTGTCTGTCTGTCTGTCTGTCTGTCTGTCTGTCTGTCTGTCTGTCTGTCTGTCTGTCTGTCTGTCTGTCTGTCTGTCTGTCTGTCTGTCTGTCTGTCCGTCCGTCCGTCTGTCTGTCTGTCTGTCTGTCTGTCCGTCTGTCTGTCTGTCTGTCGGCCCACGCCCGTCCTCGCGGCTCCGCGGTGCTCCGCGGCCGGCTCCGCGACGAGGGCCAATCAGGGCGTTGCGCCTCGACTGCCGCGCTGCCGCGGAGTGCCATGTGCCGCTGCACCACTCCGATGTGGCAAACTGTGCCAAAGTATCCATACGTATTCTCGGCCGCCAACTTTGACCGTGAAACGGAATGCTGGAGGACCTTTGGTGCCCACGCCACTGCTAAAGGTTTCGCCCGCGGGCCGTCCGTGGTCCTCCGTCGAGTCCGTCTTGGAGACGTGAACGCGCGGCGAGGGGCCGAGGGCCGGCCATCTGTCTCTCTCGCACTCATGGGGCGTCCCGCAGGGGCGCGAGAGACAGGGCTCTGCCTCCAGCGGCAGGCACCGAGCAACGCCCCCGCACTGCAGCCGCTGTAGAGCAAGCAGATGCAGGAGCGCTGTCCGGCACACTGGCGTGTCCACGGCGTCGCCACGGCGTGTCCAGCTCCGCGCGCTGCCTTGGCTTGCTCGGCCTCTCCCGGCGTCCCGTTAGGACTATTGACTGGCCTGCTAGGGCCGCGCGGGCCGCGCCGTGTCCAATAATAGTGGCACCTGGTGGCACCTGCTTGTTGTTGTCCAGCCCATCCTTTATGGCCGAGCGCTAATTCCCGGGGCAGTAAACCAATAAAGAATAACGCAGGTGTCGCCGGGTCCAAAGGCTCCGCAGTCGGAGGAGAAAGGCTGGACATCGGTCATCCACGGCCATCCCGTAAGCGGCACGGCTGCACTTTCAGGAAGAATCTTCTAGGAAAATCGAAAAGAAAAACGCCAAATATTTTTTTTGTGTCAGGTGGGCCATGGTCAGTGTGGTGGCCACCATCGCCCATCGGTCCTTCGTCTTGACGCTGACCCTTTCCCTCCCCTTGACCCGGCCCGTCTCTCTCGCACTCGCGGGGCGTGCCGTCCGGTGTGGCGTCGGGGTGCGAGAGAGACGGCGACGCACGCCTCGGCCTTGTCAAATCGGCCGGCCTGGCGTCTAAACTGTCTGCGCGTCGCTGCGTCGCTGCACTGCGTTGTCTCGACGCGGTGCGATGCGATGCGATCGGCGGCTGGAGGGCGAAGCAGGCGAAGCGATGCGTTGCGTTGGGCCTCGCTCCGTCTCTCTCGCACCCTCACGGCCCGCCCCGCGAGTGCGAGAGAGACGGAGCGTCGAAAGCAGCGTTCGGTTCGGGCCGCGCGTTGCACGACGACACGGCGCCGTTGCGTTGCCTGTCTCTCTCTGTCTCTCTCGCACTCGCGGGATCGCGCCGGCCATCGGCCTGCCATCGGCCATCGGGCACCATTTCGTTTTTCAATCACCCCCAACAAGTGACTGCGTGCGGCGGGGCAAGCGGGCGGCACTTTGCGCGAGCCGAGCGACCTTGCGTCGGGGTGTGTGTGTGTGTGTGTAAGAGCGCAACGCGTGCCGTGTGTGTGTGTGACTGTCAACCTGCTGCTGCCTGCCGCATGGCCAGGAGGAGCCTGTAACTTCACCTGCTTGTATTAAATTCCATTTCGCAAGCGTCAAATGTAACGTCGTCGTGTACCGAGTGCGTGTGCTGCGTGTGTGTGTTTGTGTTTGTGTGTGTGTGTCGGTATGCGCGCTGTCGGTGCGATTCGGTCTGATTCAAAAAGCGATTCGGTATCGTCGGCACCGCATCGGTGTGTCTCGGCGGACTGCTG